CATTATTATTTTCAGTAGTCAAGTGACTTATACGATAACCTCTTTTAATAATAACTTAATAGTCAGAAAAATCATTTTTTACTCTTTAAAAATACGTTTTTTTACCATCCCACTGTTGAAAGTAAAGTCATCAATATCTACTAAAGTTCTAACTCTTATGTATCAAAGAGGAATGTTGTCAATAAAACACAACCTTCAATTACGTCTACCGGCAAAAATATGACGCTAAACCACTAACAATAGACCTCCATCATAAAAATTGCCTTGAGCAAATGTATAATTGAAATAAACAATACGATAGTGCAAGTTATAGGTAACTTAAAAGTCCATAAGTTAAAGGAACACTAGATTATCACATGCTTTGCAAATTTGTAAGCTGTGCTTCAACCTTTGCCTACGAATACAGTCAACATAAATGGTAGTGTAGCTGCATATATTGTAAGCAATATAGTCGATTATCATGAAATTGATTTTAGCCTTACAAATTGTGGATATATCTTGTTCAATATACGATAATGCTTTATTATAAGAAGATATATTTGAAGCGTATATGTTGAGGTAAATTTTATTATTTTTGCCAATAAATATGTTAGTAAATAACTACATGTACCTAGGTATTAAGTGCTATCAAGCAAGACATGAGTTACCTACTTAACAAACATGTTAAGTGATTTTCATTTACGGTTAAATTAGATTGATTGGTTTAAAATACTTCGAAATTTTTCACGATGCAGTGCTATAATGGTATCTATTATAGTAAAATAAGAGGTAACTACCTTCAGAAGCCCGCCAAAGAATTAGCTACACATAAAATGTTTGGTTAAAAACGTAAAATTGACTATAACAATACCAATTGTCTTCGTACTCAATCAAACTTTATATTCTTACCTGCATACTAAACTCCTTTGCTGTCTGTACATTGTAAAACTTCATGGGTTTTTGTTACGCCCATTTGGCCGTAGAGAGGTAATTATGGAGTATTAAATACTACTAAAGCTCCTGAAAGGTAATAAATTCAAACCAGTTTATGAGATCGATCGCTTATTGGAAATATTTACGGTCTTATTGGATGAGGCGAATGGGAAATTCTTATTGGATGTTAGAGAATATACTGAGTATGAGATTCTATAAAGAAGTGTGCTAATCAAACTTTAACTACGTTTTTTAATTGTGATATTGTGATTAAGTACTTTCATATGTTTTTATTGTTTTCCTACTATTCTATTATAGGAACTAGGAGTAGCTACGCATTATATCAGATATTTGACATGCTTCATATTAACTATGTAGCATGGCAATAGGCTCACCCCCTATTACATACTCATAACATAAGTAGTGAAAAGTGTGTGTTACATTGTATAGTGACATAATGTGCACCTCTGCTTACCACTTCGAGGATAAAAGGCGCGTTATGTTATGCTACATATTGATGATGATAAATGATCATCGTAGTCTCCGCTTGCATCACAGTTGCATTGGTGATCACGCAAGAGACTATTGAATTAGGTAAGTATTCCATTGAAAATTTAAAATGACAGCGCAAACAAAATTGATTGGGTTTCAAAGACTTATTTAGGTACTAGACGAATTACAACAACATTATCACTACTTAAATGCTTGTTTTATGTGAGGACTGAGGACAGACCTTCTCAGACAAGCTAGTAGCTGGTCAAGCTAGTTCATTCAATTCAGCGATTCTCTATCTACCACCATGGAGCTAAAATAGCTTAAATGTAGGTACTAAAACTTGCCTTTAAATCCCTCAAGTTATGAAGTGTTTTGACGTCCTTATTTAAGTTATGGTCAAGACTTTTTGCTTCTTTACTAGCAGTAAAGGATTTTGTAGCTTGAATAACCAATGCATAAATATGGCAATCTCCAGATTTAAGACAACAGAAATAGGTATCATATTTAGGACTACATAACGAAAGAAATACTTGGTAATGGAAGCTGGAAACGAGTTAAATTTCAGCTACAAAAATTTTAAGTCATCAATTAAAAATATCTACAAAATTTTATACAGTATGTCCACAAAATATGGTTCAAATATCAATTTTACACAATAATAGATTTACTTGTCGAGATATTATAACACTTTTTCAATTACAAAACGTCTTAGAACATCAATGCATAAAATTTCCTTATATTTTTATTTTAATACCTCATTAGTAACTATATGCTGTATATATTTAAGTGCGGGAGAGTCATGCTTCGACACGAATGGGCCGGCTCGACCGGAGTGATACTACGGCCTTATAGAAAACCGACGTGAAACAAAGCTTGCGTTGTAATGTGTTCCGTCGTGAGGTTACCGGAGATACATTTACCTCGCTTCCCAATCTCCCCAATCCCCGGATCCCCCATTCCTCTCAAATTCCTACTCCCTACTGGTAACGCATTTGTAACACTTCTGGTGTTTCGGGTGACCATATGCGGCGCCGATTGCTTACCATCAGCTGGTGATGCTTCTGCTCGTTCACTTGCGTATCCATAAAAAAGGTAATATATATAATACAGTTGCTACTTATTAACAATTTTGATTCAATGATAATTTCGCGTAGCCCGCTACAAGAAGAATTTAATAAGATAACATCTTACTGAATTACTTCTACATATCCCATTATTTATATACCTATTATGTACTTGAAACACAGTATATGTAAGTATCTAATAGTCTTGCTCCTGATAAACGTGCCACCGTAAATTAAAACTATGGCAATCTACCCAGTATAAGTGCTACGGTGGTTCGTAGAGTTCGTAGCGGGCTACGTGACTACGCGCTACGCTGCTACGAGCATTATTTTTTTTGCAAGTTAAATTGATTTGATGCAATTTATTGTTGCTTTTGGTAACTAGTAGGAACTATACGTAGACTGGTATCCAATGGGTTGTGGATTACGAAATGTATAAAATATTTAGATGAATTTCCGAAATCTTTTGTTGTTTTCAGTGTGTAAAGTCTAGTTCATTTTATTGACATTTAGACGTGTAGAGGCAGCAAGGAAAAATAAAGTTGCCACTTTTTTTTTCCTGGATGTCGTAGGAGTTAAAAGGGATTGCACATTTGAGAGAAACTGGGCAGCAGAGCTCTGTGAATAAACTTAAACCATTTTTATTCCCCGATTTGCATCCGGACCAGCTAAGCGTAGAGGTTATGAAAAACACTCTTATGTGGAGGAAGCTGATAGGTTGGTAGACTATTAGGGTTGTAGATAAGGTTGACTTTGTGAATATCAAAAGATAAGAAACTAGTGCCTGAAAGTGTTTTGAATCCACTTGTAACTGCTGAATGAAGGAAGCAGTTGATCTAGCAATCGTATGAAAAACCCATGCTATTGAAAATATTCCTGAACGTCCTCCATGATTATAATTTTCTTATAGTTTGGTTACCATCTTGAGATGAGGTGAGCGATGATGCAGCCGATAACGAAGCATAATGTCTGTCCACGAGCAACTTATTCACTCGGGACTGCGTTAGAATATAGTTTTCAAAAATTACCCCAGTGTTTCAAATAAGTGTTCCGGATAGATATTGTGATTGTTTTCAGAGTATGAGAAAGAGTGCGAAATAATAAAAATATTTTTTAGTTGACATTTCGAAGGAGTTTACTATAATGTTTGCTACCTTCTTATGGATCTTAGAGAACCTATAGAAAATTTGAAGTAACTGTTTAACTCTCATACAATATTATAATACAGTAGCTCAGGAGTTATCCTGTATAAATATAACTGGTAAATTCGTAAAACTTACTTAGCTAAATCGGGTATGACATTTTCTTATTGATTGCTGTAATTAAAATTTTATTAAGGTTCTCTCAACATTGACAACCCTGAAGCCAATAAACCATAATGTGTATTGCTTATGAATTGCTGTAGATGAAAAACTATGGATCCCGAAGCATTCACTATCATGATATTTTTATATCTCTATTACTGTGACTCAATACAAAAACTTTAATATTACCAATAATCTAGATCAGTTTATAAAATGACGTCGTCTAGGACGTGTCGGCATCTCAGACCCTAAATTGACCAATTACACGCAGTCACAAAAAATCGCTACACAGTGCCCGTTCCCGTCCTTTTTATCGATAAATATTTGTTTAAAGAGGTGAGTGCAATAAAAATGCGAGCGTGTCTCTGGGTAGGCCGCACTACCACAGCCATTCATTCGTTTGATGACTTCATTTGGACGCGCGAACTGAGTGCTTGCGATAATGCGCTATTGTTTACCCTTCGATAGTGCGCCTTCCACTGCACGCGCCACACTGCGCGAGAAAGAGACACATATACTATCTGCAGCTCCGACGCCTCGACAAGCGTTCCGCTCCTAACCTTCCGTCACGTTCCCTCCTACGTTCACCGCGTACGCGCGAGCGTAACAGCAGCATCACTCGTAAAAACAGGTAGTAGAAGAAATAATAATCATCTTTACGACTTCTCACTCTATTCAGCACCTTGTTACGATACTGCGCGCTCATTGTGGCACGGTCGAGGAGTGGTTGTAAAATCTTTTCTTTACTCGCCCGTTTCACTAATTGTACGTTTATGAGTTTACGACTTTTGCGGCTTAACTTTTCAGTTATAGTCATTATTGGGGTTTTGTCGATGCCTTTTTTTATATACTTACTGCTACGTGGGTTGGCTGTCAACTTTTATACTTACCATACACTACTGTTAAAGGATGACACCTTTATGATTTATGATTTTCAGCTAATGTATACGGGTTGATCCGATTATTTACTTTTAAACTTTGGTACCTAATGGAACTCTTATGTCCAGTATAGTTATTATAAACTTCTTAAAAGTAGGCTAGTCTTAAGAATCACAATAGGTATGCACCACGTGCTTCAGGAGGAGTGATAAGAAAGGGAAAAGAGAGCGTAACTGATAATATTTATAGTCATTAGCGAAAAGGGGACGGAACAATCGTCGGTGTTGCGATCGCAGGCAGCGCGCGGGGCGGCGCGCGTGGCTCGCTCTCAGTAGATTGCGTGAGCCGAGCCGCGCCGGTCGCACACGGCACATAGTCGCGCGCTCCCGCCACACGCGACCAACAAACTTCGCTCGCGACACACGCGTCTGCGACTCACACATCGCGAACTGAAAATTTTAAGAAAAAAAATCTGAACACCCGCTACTTGTGCGAGCACTGTGAGACGACTCGGCGCCGCATACAACCGCTTAAAAAGTCGTAAAACCCGCGGCACGCGCTCCCAAGTCGTAAAATAATCGTAAAAAGTAAACACACGTCAACTGGCCTTTATCGCCAACGAAGCCCATTATGACACTCGAGTGACGTTTAAGAGGCAATAAAATTAATAAAATTAAATTACATTGTCCGTATTTGGAGTGACATTGGCGGAGGTCGCGTTATCACGGCGCGTGGGGCCGCGATGACATAAGTGTTCCCTAACTGAGTGACGTTAGTGTCGGTGACTGATCAGAATGAACTCCTATTTCGAGCAGGGTGGTTTTTACGGGGCGCACGGAGTGCACCAGGGTGGTGGCGGTGGTGACCAGTATCGTGGGTTCCCACTAGGCCTGACATATGCCCAACCACATGCCCTACATCAGCCCAGACCCCAGGACTCGCCGTATGATGCATCTGTGGCAGCTGCCTGCAAACTATACGCAGGCGAGCAACAATATGCAAAGGCAGACTGTTCCAAGCCAGGAGGAGAACAACAGAATGGCTATGGAGGCAAAGAGGCATGGGGCTCAGGACTAGGTGCACTAGTAAGGCCAGCAGCCTGCACCCCAGAGGCACGGTACAGTGAGTCCTCCAGTCCAGGAAGAGCACTTCCCTGGGGCCAACAATGCGCACTACCCGGCGCCGCCACTGCAACAGCACAGCCCGTACAACACCAGCCCACCAATCACACCTTCTACCCTTGGATGGCCATAGCAGGTTAGTTACATATTAATTAAGAATATTTTGTCTTAAAACAGAAATAGAAATAACTTACACAGTCATTAATTTACTAAAAAAATATACTACTTAAACAAGTATTTAATTGCTCAATAATATGTTGTAATAAAAATTTAAAACATTCAAACACTGATAGTCAAAAATTAAAAGCTCTAAAATGCTGCTACACGATTCGAGTTGTGACCCAAAAAATCGGGAATTTCTCATTCAAGTCTCGTAGGAAACCAATAAGAATATCGGTAGCAGGTAGAGCCGACAACTCGACTCAAGTGTCAATAAAACGCACATAAAACGAACGACCCTCGTTAGCACCTTATTAGTCAAGACAGATTTGAGTGCCATTCATAACTTTATTGTTGCCATCAACTCTAAGAATCTTCATTAAAATACTAATTTGTGACAATAAAAAATAAATAAATGTAGCCATAGAGTTTATTTGAGCCGAGTTTTATGGGTGGTTTTATATATTATTTACTGCCTTGTATTTCAATTATTTGATAGATATTGTAGTTTAATGTGCCATTTTATTACGTTTATATGATATAAATTGTGAAAACATACGTTATGGTACTATTAGTGTTATACAAGTAATAAAAATACTTTAAAGTTTTTAAAACAAAAATCACTTAGTATGAGTAATTCGCACATAATAAATTATGTTTTTTTATTCAGATTCTTAGGACTTTGAGTAGTTGAATTAAATAACTAGTTTTTTATGGCTCAATAACTATAATAATGCCAAATCACAGCCAAATTGAAGTATTTCGGTATTTATAAAATGTTAAATCAAAATTACAAATTACTCAGTTATGGGTGCTTAAATTGTATATTAATATCCATAGTCTACTGCAACACCCTTGAATTATTGTATCTGTACTTATTAAAAAAAGCATCATGTCGAGGACGGATTTTTGTTGCAATTTATATTTTAAACAATTTTACATCCAAAATAAATGTATCGATTTACTAAGAAGAATAAATTAATTAACCATTTTTGACCATTAAATATGTTTTTTATATTTTAAAATAGTTTTATTATCTATGACTATTTTTTATGATAATGAAAAAAATGTAAATGATTAGTATACTGCCTTAGCGTCTTAGAAGAACGTCTTCAGTAGCATTTTAGCGGTCCAAATTATGGCGGGAGCACACGGCGCGCCCGCGCCGAGCGGTCGGGTCAATGGCCCGATCTAGTTTGGGCGCATTATTATTAACTTGAGGAGTGCCACTGACCACTCGACAAATGACCACTCGATTATGCGTCCGATTCCTTAGATGAAAGCATAAAACTAGATAATTTGTAGTGACAAATGTTCCGCCGACGAAAACTTAAGAGTAGTGGATACGACGACGCGAAAAATAAAATTTACGCACTCGTATAAATTTATTACAACCAATAACTACCACTAATTAAAATTCTACTTGAAACTTATTGAATATTTTCTTTTTGTAAAATCTAATTGGACACGTGATTTCAAATGGAGACGTTCCATTTGTACCTAAATTCTAGTTGGAATGTTTCATTTCATAACTGGTTGGAATAAAACTATATTCAAATTGTGTATTTGATTTTAGTCTTGAAATCAATCATGGCCGCAGCATGAGGGACTCACCTGTACATTACTAACGCGTAATTAACGCAACGCGTGTGGTCCCGCCTCTCATAACTCATGCGACTTGATAAAATTAAGTAACACGGGCTAAAAAAATAAAACAAAAATAAGTAGTCGAACTGTCGGCCATATTTCACTCGGTGTTCACGCAACACGGCCCGCGAAACAATACAAGGACGCTTGTTGGACGTGGGCTGTATGAAAAGTTCGGGCTTGTCCGGCCTGTCCGCTGTCCGCTGCGAACACGATCTGCCGACCTGTGTTCGCTTTCGTGAAAAAATGTCACGTGTCTATGCTGTGAATGTCCTGCAAAAGAAAAAAATATTAATATTTTTCATATAATTATTTGTTCATTATTTCCGTACATCTAACATGATTCCTTTGTCACAATTTATAATGATGATATTAATGTAGATATTACAATTTAATATTTATTATATTTTCGGAATAGTGCCAGATATTTTTCAATACCTTATTCCTACTTGATAAATAACCTAACTATAAGTAACCAAGTCGTTGATTAAATAGGTATAATAGGTACATAATGAATAGGTTCTTACACTAACAAGCAATTATTTCAGAAATATCAAAGTGGTACAAAAGTATTAATCAAATTGGAATGTAAACAAATATTAAAATGCTAAATGTCAGTTTCCACAATTACTCAGCTCCAGTAAATGCTTGTCATTCTTAACGTTTACGTAATAAAAGTGGATATAAATCATGTATTATTAAAAGTCATAGATAATCTAGGTAAAGAAACAGTTTATATTAATGGCTAACTTATATTAATTACGAGTAATTACAATTTAGTATTCAAATCAAAAATAAAGCTAAGTACTTCTAAAGTATTCCGTACTGAGAATATTTTTATCATGAAGATTTTATTATTTTTACATATCTATTAATACCAAAAAAGTTTTAAATAAATACACTCCCATACATTTATCGAGCGCATTATATGGTCGAATTTGTTCGTATTCTTTTTCAACTTATTTGTCAGTACATTCATATTTAAACTCAACCTAACCTCACCAAGAGTCGAACCTATAATTTCTAAACAAGTTTCCAAATTGGCGACTGCTCCTTGCCGAGGGCACGGAATGATTTTAAATGTACCTTTATTAAAGGGAAATGAGGTATTGTAATCACAAGTTTCATACTTGCAAAGTATTCTGTAGTTACACGCTTCATTTCAACTTCAAACTTGTTTGTATATTAATTTAAACGATTTCTTTCCAATAAACACTTTATGAAGTAAAATGTTCGATATTTAAATAAAAATAATGATATTTTAATTTAAAACGGCTAATCCTTTCTATTCTTTTGCTATAATGATTCGATATTTGTAAAGTAAAACATTGAATGTCAATAACATGAGTAATTATTCAAAACAATGGCGAATATTAAAATATTCTTAGAAAAGTCGATAAAATTAATTGGAATTCGATGCACAAATGGTACATAACTACATAATAATTATACAATAAGTTGCTATCGTATTCGTAGTGTTGTGAACTCGTGAGTGCGCATTTGATCAGTGATACGCCATGAATGTGGCTCTACTTCGCACGACAGAAATATTTTTATTAAGTCACAAAAATTACAGGTTTTGTATTTATCTTAAGTTTTATGTACATATTTATTTATGTAATAATTATATTATAGTTTTATAACATACAATGTTTGCTTGATTTGTTTCTTAATTCAAACTAATTAACATTTCTTACAATAATTTATTGAATCTTTAAATAAATTCATCTTTATAAAATAAAAAATATAGCACCTAACTTAAGTTCTAAAAATTCCAATCAAGAAGCAACATCGTCTCTTTGTTTCCAATAAATGTAGAATACAACAGAACACAAAAACAAGTATGATAATAGAGTCACTTAAAAACGGATAACAGGCACCTACTCAATAGAAGCATTCTGTAATGGTACCCCACATTGGGCAACCCAGACCGCTATACAGTCAAAACAAACAGCAATACACAGAAAAATAACAGCATAATAGGCCCCGTAACAGTCGCAAGCCATAAACTAATAATGGGGGAGATTATGTTTTATGGGTTTCAAGTTTTGAATACGTTAAAACTGTTTTTTGTTAATTTAGTGCAACGTATACCGTCCGCGAGACAACACGTATTTTGCGCTGGACTCATTTTATATAAGAATAAAGTGTTCTAATTTCATATGTGCCGGGAGATTGACGGGTCCGTTATAGGAGGAGGTGTGCATGCGCTTGTTTCCCGCCTGTTCGCGCGGCGCGCCCGCCGCCATCTTGGATGAGATCGATCATAGGTGCGCAGCTGTGAAGTGATAAATATGAATCCCAACTGCTCCGTGGTGTGGACTTTCTTTTTGTGGAATCGTTGAAACTCACGAACATCTTCTCAGAAGCCCTGTGAGACAAAATTAGACGAATTAATCATTGTGAAGCTTAGTTTATAAATGAACGTCTAAATGTGAATCGAAAACATCGTGTTATTTATGTAAACTTTTTGTATTATGACTAGATATTTTTAAGTCGGAAGGTAAAAAACAAATTATCTCTTGTAAAATAGTTTTTTAACTAATTTTATTGCTATGATTGAGCTACAGGAAACGCTGCCAAACGTTGATCATGCTTATTTCGTTCTCTACCTCACGTAATTGATGTGGTAAAAAACCAGCGGCCTATAAGCGGAGGCAATCAACAAAATAAGTAGTACCCGGTGTTTCCATTGCCGAATACGTGGCCCTACATAATGTCGGCCAAGCTTGTTGAACACTACGTAGGCACCAAAAAGTGGTTAGAGGTAGTTTGTGAAGTATCCCTAGTCTGTTCGCTAGTGTTCATAAACGGCGTGACCCGACATACGTTATTATGCATTACATTGAAAATCACGGGCCTGGCATCCTATAGTTGCCGTTTTGTACCGCAATCTTTACAATTGCCCTGATACTTAGACATTTACTCCGCTTTTTCACAACACCTCTTTGTGTACTGAAACTTCTTAGATTTTATGTTAGTTTTACAACCGAGCCATAAAATTCTAGCTTTGTTTAATATTAATAAGTATGAGAACGATGTGCTTATATTTTAATCAGTTTAAAATTCTCTGTAATTGTAAGCGGTAATCGTATTTTTAAGTTTTATCGAGGGAGATAATCTTTTGAAGTAGGAAGTAATGAAACAGGTTTGAAAAATGTTATAATTTACTGCGTATTATTTCGGTTGTTCTTTTGTTTTGGAGCGAAGGCTTGTTAGGGTGCTCGGAACTTTTTTCCGACGTCAAATTGTCATATAATGCCAACATGAGTTTTGAGCGTACATGTGTAATTTATTTTCTTTGCTCGTAGTATGTAAAAATGTATTATTACACGTTGATCGGGCGGTCGATCGCTTGCTGGGAACGTTACATTACTCCTGTCTTCCACATACAGTCGCTCGCTAACTACGCCATGCGATTAAAGCTCTTGAATAAAATAAATCAATACCTTTGTCCTAGTATCCATCAAGACAATAATCAGTATAAAAAAAATAACGATTATTGAGATTCCCTTCGATTGTCTATATGCTGTATAAAATATTTAATGAGTCCGAATTAATTTTCAAACTCTAAACGATTGTCTTAAAATACAATGCTTCAATATTATCTATTAAAATTATAATACTTACCTAAGTAATGTAAACAGTAGACACTAGACAGAAATCAAAAACCATGACCAAAGTACCTTTATTACATTCTTATCAAGAATATTTTAATACAACAGATACTGAGTAAACGCGTTAATAATTCAGAAGCTACTGTGAACATATTTTATTTCAATTGTTTACTGATAAATGAAACTTTGAAAAACAGCTCTGCTTATGTTTTTACATAATCGTGACTACCGTTTACGATTTTTATCTTTGTTACACTTTCTGCACTATTACAAGTGTTAATGATTTCTCTTCGGCTAAACATTAACTTGTGATTGGATTAAACAGCTCAATTAATTACATTATCAGGTAACTTATTTGCGTCGTTTAGCAATAAAAAGCTCCGATATCTGTCTGTGTATTAATGAGTATTATCGCTTCGCTTCGCATGGATGACGGTCCGAAAGGAGTGGATGTCTGGCCAGCAATTAATTGTTGCACGATATACAACACTGAGGTGCCCTACCACGCGGTATTTGAATATTAAGACACATGGAGAAATATATCGATTTCGTTATAAATCGAAATCATATGAGTAATGCAATCGATTTATTTGAATGAGTCAGAGATCTAGCGCTGTGACACCATTAATATATGTAAATGTATGAGCTCTTCGATTATTAGCTTAAAAAACAGTAGGTACCCTTTTTATAGTCGGGTAAAAAGTCATGTATAGTATTTTTAAATTTAATTTGTATCGAAGTAAGTACCTCATTCGATATCAATATTGATTATACAAGCACCTCACATCCGGCTAAGCGAAACTGCATCGTTTAATTTTTGCAACGCTAACCCGTTCTTAGTAAACTATTAAACCATATTTAATTTCACATAAACAGTGCACGGTAACATATACTTGGTATAAATAACTGCGCTGCATTCGCCTTTCATTCGATACGAAAAATCTTAATAAGCATTGAAATTTAATTTTTATTACCATATCCTAAAAGTGCATTTTTCATGAGCAAGGGATCCCGTTTACACTTCGACCTGAAATGTCCAATGAACCTTAAAGTCTGTGTAATAAAGTTTAGTATGGCATATGAGGGTTTGTGTTTGATATTTTAAAGTTATTTCCCTGACATAGAGGGCTTCGTGCCGAAACTAGCGTTTTACAGAACAATGTGTCTTCTTTTTAAACTAAGTCGGTTAATCGTGCTTCCATTATAATTCTCACATAAAATACCCGGTTTTCTTTATCTCACAATTGTTTATAGGTCTATCTTCCGCTAAGTATATGCGACTGGGCACTAATTTATAAAGATTAACAAGTCTGAGCAATAATTTTATATCGATGAGGTAAACGACTTCAAAGTTACACATCGGTAGCGGCAGACATATTAATCGACTATAATAATAATCTGTATCAATTGGTTTGAGAACACGTTATTCTGGTGATTGCTCAGCGTTAGGACATTAAAATATAAATGTTACATTAAGTGGGACGTGAATAGGTGCGCTCACCTCACTTTTATTGCACTCTCGCTACTTTTTAATTATCGTTGGTCAATCACAAGTTATATTACTATCCGTAACAAATCTACGCGATTCGTCGCGCCACTCACGAATTTGTTTCGGCTCTCATTCTAACGACCAATAAACTTTATCACACCATTTCAGTAGGAATCTCAATAATTATTCAACTATAAAACTTTATAGAAGTGACTGTTGTCGATGTTTTATCACTATTAACTTTCGTGAAAGTTGGCAACCTTTTGATATTTTAACACTATAGCGAAATTTTGTAGAATAATGTTATTATAAAGGAGTTAAGAACGAATTTGAAGTTGTTAACATGAAAAAAGAATAGCATTGGAGCCGTTAACTTATAAAATTGAAATATTCACGGCGGGAATCAAACGGAAAGCTTGCGCCGGCGCCGTTCCCCATGATGTATGGGCCCCACCACATACTTAACTAATAAACCCTTCCAGTTTAAGGACACACGCGATGAAATATATCCGTCTCGGTCTGGTAATCCATTTTATACTTTTCCATCGAGCATTGCTGATTTCAAATTATAATTAGCACCTTATTCGCCTATTGTTGCTGCACAATTCTTTTTAAAGAGAAAAATAACTCTAAGTAGTTATGATAAAAAAATAAAATCATGAATATCATTACACTTAACATCAACTAATATTCAAATTAAGCAATTTCACAAAACTTTTTAATTAATGTACGGTAGCATTCACACACTTTCAACTATCATTGTTTAAAAATTATGTTCTAAATTCAGTCTCATAAAATATTATTTCATACAAAATTTAATTTGTAGAGCGAGATGACGATGTTTACCACAGTTCCTGCTCATAACCAAAATGGCCAGACTAAGGTCCGATACCGATCGAAAGCTCAACTTCGGTTAAGCGTTACATGCGGGTAAAAAAAAACGACGTTTCTATTATAAAAGGCCACTTTTTTACTATAGTCACCGGCCAGAAACTCAATCGTAAATTATAATTTATTAATCGAAGGACTACGAAATTAAGATATCCACCTTTCCACATCTATGGCGGTATCCTTTTGATTATAAGTTTTAGTGCAACGTTGTTTTTCGAGTGCGGTAGACGTTACAGTGGCTGTGGGACAGTATAGTGACCGATATGCAATCTGAATTGTTAAACGGCGCGCCGTGACCTACCACAGCTCAATTTGTCGGCGGAGTTACATCAAAGTGTACTGAGCTTACGATTCGATGCGACACACGTATCGGTAATTTACGCATCGACATTGGCAGCTGTCATCGTTCGGCGATCATGTACCGGTACCCGAGAACCAGCCGTATACTTCCGATGTGGACTCCACGCGCCAGTGATTGTGTTTATTAATCAGTGATATTTCCAACTCTAGTTCTGCTATCGTACAAATTTGCTTTTACTTTTTCACACGCATCAGACGCGAGATGTATTTCACTGTCAACGCACGAATGTTGGAATCATCGGCGCTCGCGCAGAATTTTGATGAGAATTTCCTTCTGCACTCGAGATACATAAACATTATACGGCTCGCCGTCATGTTTACAACGGAAAATGAAATCGCGCACTGTTTGCTAAACGGACTTTTTAATGCGTTTACAAAATTACAAAAATAATCTCCGACCTTATTGTTTAGTTTATAAAAAAACGTGGTGTTGAGCATAATTTATGATCGATTGTTTGAGCATTGTAGTATTTATGGAGCTTAAAATGTGTCAGTAAGTAATTTTAAGAGGTCAAACACCGATATTATGAATGCGAGCGCACGGAGCCGCCGCGAAAATATGTACTCTCAAACAAGTAAAACCAAACACAGTCTTAGCGCTCTTTGAATAAGTAGCCTAAACAAAAACCTGCACTTGCATAAATGCAAAACTGTGGTGTTGCGTTCACTATGTCGCTTATAATAATAGTAGAAATTAATTTTCAATTAAGTCAGCGGTAATTGTTCCATGAATAAATTTAAAGTTTGATGGGGGCAATTTTCTTCCTTATAACGTGTTACATTGTAAGTCACGTACATATTTACTGTAATTATTTAAACATCCTGCATTTTCGATAAAGGACTTAAACATTAATTAAAACAGCACTCCATAAAATGTGCCATCTAGGTAATTCCCTTTTATTTTTTTACTGGCGTATATTTGAATTATATTATGTCAAGATGTTTGTCAACTATTTAAGGCGTGTCTGATAGCTATAAATTGTGTGAATTTCTTGCTAGGTTACATAAGGTGGT